ATTTCACGTCTATTGGATAAAACACTAATTAAAAAAAAAAAAAGTCAACCAAAATATACTTAAAAAAAAGTTTAGAAAAAAGAAAAATCCATATATAGTATCAAGGAATAAAAAACTATTGATATAGCCTCTTTGTGATCCAGAAAAATGAGTCGCAAAATTCAAAAACTTATCCAAAATTTGGTCGATCCATATCCAAAAAGACGAAAGAAAGAGAAATGAAAGGGAAAGGCAAAATGGGTTGAAAGATTGAAGGTGGTCCAATTGGGGAAAGAGGTGTGTCTTTGTTTTTCTTATGGTCCCGAACCACAAAGAAGAGAAGGGTTTCGAAGCACTTGAGGGATGCCTATTGGAAGAGTGTCATAATGGCATGTGAAGTTCTCATGGGTGGCCAAATACTGTTTCCATTCTCTACTGCTTCGTGAATCCAACTATGAGATCTCGATTTCTGTAGATACTTGTCACTGTTCAAGGCACCTTCCTTCATTTTTCCTCTAGAGTTCTTAAAGTTTTTATTTCCATTATGTTGTAAACACATTTAAATTGAGCTGTCATTACAGCCCAAGCAAAGCCTAATATGCTATTTAGATATAGACCAGCTACTAGCTTACGTTTAGTGTGTAATCATTTAGTGGAACAGGATAACACTAGCACTCTTCTTTTCTTCATTCATTTGAAGTCAGATTTGATCAGTAACATGATCCCTATACAATCAGGACACTTAAAATTTCGTATGGATTCTGGAATGATCTTTTTTTTTTTTTTGGGATCATTAATGGACACTTATTACTATGAGATCCTACGTCGATTGGAGAGGAGAACGAAATATTTTTTATAAGGGTATGGAAACTTCTCCCTAATAGAGGCGTTTTAAAAACTTTGAAGGAAAGCCCGAAAGGTAAAGCTCAAAAAGTAAAATATCCGTTAGCGGTGGGCTCTTCCGAAGTTAAGATCCCATTTGCTATGGTTTGACATAGATGGGCTTAGATATCAGTTCAAAGGCCCATGTTTAGATGGACTAGGGCCATATTCATGGACCAAATGGGCTTCCACGGTAATGATTCGGCAATTCCCAGACAATGCAAGTACTCAGTCAAAGTTTAGTAGTACCTGGAAAGGATAGAAGGATCTCCGTGCATGGTTTGTGAAGTATCCATGTCCTCAAAACCACCATCCCGGGCAATATTTTCTCCTACAATTGAAGGATAAAAATAGTAAGGAAACAACGTGGTTCACGCTACTTAGTAAATATTTCTTTGCTATCTATTAAAATGTTGACCCAGCAGTAAATGATTTTACCGCACCAACGAACTTTACTTCCAAGTGAGAGATTAAACTATGCTCAAGTCAGTGGTATAAACTAGTTAAAGCTGGAAGGAATCCTCATTACGATATTTCTAATTAAACCAACTAAATACTCCTATTTCGAAATCGAATAGGGTAGACATAAAAAGCTCTGCCCACGTCTGAATAGTGGAATCTAGAAATGATATTTAGGTTTGTAAAGCTAAAGGGAATATAGTCATTATACTTCGAAGCACAGACGTAAAGACTAATTTACCAAGAATGGATAATTTGCGTACCATAATAATTGTTTCACTTGAAGAAAACATCAAATCTCGCATTGGTACTTGTTTTCCCCCATCTTTGGCCGTAAAACCTGCTGAAGAAATTCAAAAGGAGGCATGGAACCAAGCTCAATGGTGCTGCTATTTTGAATTAAGATTCTTGGTTTGAGCTGAAGTACATTTCGACAGAAGGTAACGAGTTAATGGAGTGGGCTGAGAACATAGATTCACATTTGAGCTAATGATGATCCAATGGGAATATCTAATGTAAGAATGATGCCAGGCGTGGATCCGTACGATATGGAAGACCGCTTCGTGCACCCAAAGCACGACAACATCCAGCGGCCTACAATTGAAGCATAACGGTAAGTATAGCTCAACTAATTAAGGTATATACTTTCGACTGAGGGTCATTAAAAAAAAAAAAAAAACTTACCACTTGGGTGGAAAATGGCAGTAACTTCTCAGGTGGCATGTTGGCACATAAGGCTGGAATTGAAATGAAAAGCATAACTTTTGAGGCGGATGTTAATTAAGCTAAAAAATAAAAACAAGTAAAAACGAACATAAAAATTCTAGGATGAACAAATATTTGTCAGGAGATTCATTCTGAAATGGTTCGCAAAATTCAGCAAAAAAGCTTGAACAAACAAAATTGCAAGCTGAACTCTAAAGAAAAAAGCAGCTACTAGAAAATACAAGGATAACAAAGCTAAAATTGTTCATATTACGAACCATAAAGAACTGCTCCAATGAATGCATCTCCAGCACCAGTCGTATCAACAATCTCAGACGCTGGTATTTTTTCGGCTGTTCCGAGCAACAGCCTGCCACAAACTGTCCCTATCCCCTCAGCCCTCAACCTGACCACTGGCTGAAAAAAAAAATGAGGACGAAATATAACCAAATCTCATTCACATCCTAATATCTAAGAGGATGAACTTTCTTGGACCCATAAGCTATGACTCAACCGCAGATATTAATGTGTTCATTAGGTTAGCACTCGTATACTATCTGACAATTCCTATGCTCAACCTAAACTTCATACGCTCGTTCAATATTATAATAGCATAGATACATTCTAAAGCTCCATACATCACTCAGATAATTTGTATAAAACAAGTCATCTTTTTTATACAAGAGAAAAAGAAATGGTTGCATCCGTCAACCATTCATTTTTCTTACAAATTTTACCAACGGTTTCTATCTTCAAAACCAACGTAACTTCAGCAGGTAGCCTCGCAGCATTTAATCCAACATACTAGGTCCAAAACACTGCGTGGGGGACAGACTTCATAATTAACCTCTCCTAGATGTCTAGGTACAAAAACCACCCTGCAAACGGTGGCAAGTATTTCCCATTTCCCTTCTTTACATAACTATTTATTGATGACGTCACAGACATCAATCTACATGGATCGTGACAAACCATAACACTCTAATGGTACACATGGTAAGCCAATCATTTTTAAGGACTAAGGTAGGGTTGAGCAAACGTCAAAATAACTTTAAAAAAATTACCGATGAAACAGAAGTTGGGACATTTATATTCTCATCCTTTCTGCCTTTGATCACTTCTAGTAAGTTGTCTACTTCAAACTCTTCTATCTGCTCAGGTTTTTCTGCCAGAAACAGAGAAAGTACCAGTAAATTTTTAGCATACATTAAATATACAAAATTTTGTACCTAACCAATATCAACCCTTTGAGGGTGAACAGAATCATATGATGCCAACGGTATGGTAGAAAGTTGATCATCAGCAGTCACCATTAGTACTTCTTTCGAGCATTATGCATCCTTCTTCACCCAAGGTGACAATCACAAATTTGAGTTTTGGAAGTCGCAGAAGCATGGAAACAAGTGCAGATGGAATCGATGGTGCCTCTGTCCATTCCTGTCCATTAAATACCGTTTCTATAATTTAGTAACAACAGAGAGCATGATCACATAAACAATAAACAACTCCAGGTAAAAAGATGAATAGAAGCATTGAAAGAAAAAACAGAAATTTAATACAAATTCAAACATACATACAGCACAGTATAATAATTATATGCACTACTAGATGAAAAAATCAATGTCATTTTTCTTGCACGTGGAATAAAAAATTCTCTCAAACAAACGAGTTAGGTAAGGCATAATGTAAGACCTCTATAGCGAATGGGTATGCAAGGAGGGGGCAAGAATGGCAATACTTCTGTGAGAAGTTAGCTGTCTTTGCTGTCTTTTGTTATAGTACTTTTTGTGAACAGATTATACATATTAATCTGTACGTTTAGGTGAAGGTGGGTTTTATCGTGTAAGACTTTTGACTTGGGAAGGAGAGTAACAGCCCTCTTGAGTGCCTGGATGAACTTGTGATCGTCTTAGGGCTCTTTTGTGATATTAATATACCAATTGTGGAGGTAGATACCTAACACATAAGCAGCTCTACAAATATACAAGATAATTAATAAAGACCAGGGGATCAAAAATAAAAACTTAAGATTCAATATAACAAATTTAAAAATTAAAAGGATAAGAGTAACAAGTACTTTTAGAGTTCAATTTCCAAACAGGAGAATTTTGACGAGTAGGGAAAATTTTCAAAAAAAGGAACGAAGAAAGAACACTTGCCTGAGGAAAACTTGTTGAGCAGACAACATAACTGGCAAATGCCAGAAGCTCATCCAGGCCTTCCCTTTTTCTTTCTGCATCGATCAAGATAGGAATATTTTGCTGAGCTGCCTGTACAGGAAAAGTAAAATTAATATCCCTTCAAAGTACAACATGAACCATTAAGGACAAACAACCAGTTCATAGATATTTAGAAAGTGACAGAAATAACAAGCCAAAAGCTGAAAGAAGAAAAGTATTGAGTTTCTTTTGAAGTTTCAATCTGGGAGGGGAACAAAGAAGTCTGGCTCTTAAAAAAATCTACTTGAAAAAGCAAGCTCAACACATGAAGGCAGTATGTGTAACATCAAAGCAACTTATGATATTTTTACCTCTTCTGCAACAAGCAAAGCAGTTTCATGCAATCTTACGTCAAAATATACAATTCTAGCCCCATCTAAGGCTGACAACAAGCTTGATCGGGAAAGGTCATCTGGCACCATGGGAGGAGATCCTGGTGTGTGTATGCATGTACGAGTGTGCCTAAAAAAGTTCGCCACAGTAAATGAATTGTGAAATGATTGACGCAATATCTACCACTCAAAAGTGTGCATAGATATGAAAATATTATTACTCAACGAAAGAATACAGATTTAAGAATGAGGAAAAGAATTGGGATCGAATGTTCTATCTTCATTGATATTCACGACCTTTAAATAGGATACAAGATACTAAATAATATCTACCAAGAAAATATAAACTAACTAAATCCTGATAATAAAATAAAATATACTACTATTCAAATTCAACTAATTACGATATCTAAGATATATTTCCTAACTAATATATTCTGGAAGATTACGAATATCATATATTCCATAACTAATTCAAACTAAAATAAGTTGCACTAAATTGTGACAGCCTCCCTTAGTGCAAGCTTATTTCTCAATAACTCCGAGAGCTTCTACGAAAAACTTCAAACTTCACTTTGGCAAGTGCCTTAGTAAATATGTCTGCAACTTGCTCATTAGTATGTATTTCCTGCAATTCAACATCCTGCGTTAACACATTCTCTCGAACAAAATAATCTACGAAGAATTTCTTCCAGTTAGGCTTGCGTATGGACTTCTTAGGCACGCCACCACCTGAATAAGACACTGACACATCATGTTCAATGATTTCCTTCTTAATAAGTTCCACATTGCAGCGATTCAATTCTAATGAGAAAGAGTAATAATTCATCTCAACTTGTGCAGACTCAGCATACTCCATACACCGGTGAATTACATCACTGGTAGACTGCAAAAGCTCTTGATCTGTAGAAGCTTTATATCCTTGGTCAAGGTCCAAGTCATCCTTACTATGATCATCAAGGGCATGCTTGAGCTTTTGAGCAAGGGACTCATCTTCTTCAGCTACCCAACCATCATGCTCATCACAAGCACTGTCACCGTTGTCACTAGATGCATAGTCCTGACTTAAGAGGATATCAAATCGATCATCCAAAAGCTGTCGAGTTCGTGGCTTATCAACATCATCCTCCACATGGTCAACATCTGCATCCTAAAAAATGTCATCGCCAAAAGATTTATTATTAATAATATTCTGGCTTCCTGTCGCCTTCTCAGAATCCTTAGCCACACTAAACTTATTATCCACTGAACCATCCTCCCCTTCATCACATAAATTTACCTGAACTACGAAATCCTCTTCCAAGTCCTCAACATCAGAACCAAATCGTGATAAATCATCATCATCAAGCAGTGCAGCTATTTCTGGGTCAGACTGGGGCGGAGCATCAGTAGCCGAATCCTGCAAATTGGTAGTTTGATCTAAATTCTCCAAGATGAGAAAATCGTCAGCCTCAGAGGGGAGGTAAAGACCGTCAAGATCGTCAAACGTTAGCTCGACAACTTCATTTTCGTCGAATCTCAAATCCAAGGCCGTGGAGTAAACAGAAGGGTCATCAGGGGCAATAGAATTGAAATCGGAGAAAAAGAGAGAGTCCAGATGCGAAATTTGGAGAGAATCAAACTCAGAAGCGTAAGTAGTGGATAAAATTTTGATCACCTGTAGAAACATCATCTTGATATACGGCTGAAGTCACGTTTGTTGGCTGGTCAAGAACCTCAGTGGTTAAGCAATATTCCCAAATTGGATCTGGAGAACTTTTATTTTCATGTACCGCATTTGCTTCTGATTCCTGCATCTTGACTCGACAATTTGGTTTAATATGGCCTGGCTTTCTGCAATGATCACACACTACTTTCGACTGACAATCTCGTTTAAAGTGGCCTGGTTTTCCACACCTGTAACAAGCTTTAAATGGCTTCTTTGACGACTCGTCACTTCTGAATTGATTCTCATTGCTAGATGAAGGCCTTGAGTGAAAATTCTGTCTCCTTTGATCTTTGACATACAACACACCTTCTAACTTTGGGGAAAACTCGTTGCTGTTAGTCATTTGCTTAATCAAGGCTTCCTGATTGGAAAGAAGATTCTCCAATTCAATTACCGTAGGTTGATTTGCCCACCCTTGTATTGAGGAAACAAAAGGCATAAACTCTTTTCGTAATCCACGAATAAGATAACGCCGTAATCGAGCCTCACTCACTGGCTCCTCAGCATCTAATTCTGAAATTTCAAAACACAGATTTTTCACTTTCAAAAAATATTCTTCAACAGAAAAATTACCTTGAGTTACCATAGCTAGTTCATTCTCTAGAAATTGCAGTCGAGCGGTATTTTTCTTAGTGAACAACTTTTGAAGTGTATCCCATACTTGCTTTGGTGACTTTAAATCACGAACATGATCAATATACTCCTTGCTAATCAAAGTTCGCAAGGTAAATAAGGCTTTTCCGCACTTGATCTTCCATTGTTGACGTAATTTTGCATTTTGTGGAGTATCGGCTGGAATTTCTGTGTCATCACCTTCAATTAAATCCCATAAATCTTGCCCTTGTAGATAAGCTTCCATGCATAACTTCCAATAACTATAGTTATTGCCAACCAGCTTTTCCATAGCTACACCCATAGAAGCACTCCCACTATTCATCTCGTTGAGTAATAATATTAAACCGTACCAACTTGGCTCTGATACCAATTGACGCAATATCTACCACTCAAAAGTGTGCATAGATATGAAAATATTATTACTCAACGAAAGAATACAGATTTAAGAATGAGGAAAAGAATTGGGATCGAATGTTCTATCTTCATTGATATTCACGACCTTTAAATAGGATACAAGATACTAAATAATATCTACTAAGAAAATATAAACTAACTAAATCCTGATAATAAAATAAAATATGCTACTATTCAAATTCAACTGATTACGATATCTAAGATATATTTTCTAACTAATATATTCTGGAAGATTACGAATATCATATATTCCATAACTAATTCAAACTAAAATAAGTTGCACTAAATTGTGACAATGATTATGTACATTCCTTATAATTTTATTTTGTGTATATTCTGTCTCAGAATTGCTAACGTCAGAAGGCTTCCCTCTGAAAGATCAAAGTATAAAGAACTCCTCAATACTAAGAATTTAGACTACAAGACTGTAGAAGGAATATGTCCTTTACAATCCACAAAATATCATTTTGAAATTGATGCATGACATCGTTAAAAGGCTCATATTTGCTTGCCTCAAGACAAGCACAAAGTTTTAGCCTTGAGTCTTACCCTTCTTTGGATTACAGGTGGCTTAAACCTCCACAAAAGACACTCATACTAATCCTTATGCCTCACTAAACGATTAAAAGAATAATACCAATCTGCAATATTCTTCAGAAATATTAGACCCTCAGCACATGGACAAAGTAGAGGAGCATAGAAATGCAAATGCTTACGTTTTATTATCCACAATAATATAGGTAAAGGGTGAAACACCCCCTTCAGCAACCTGAGAAAACACAAAAAAGCACAAATGCGGTAACTCATAAGAAATAACTAAAAATCCATTATGAAAAGAGAGCAGATAATCTTTCAGATAGAAAATAGTAGGAAAAGGATGAAATACTTATAGCAACATATCTATATTGAACAGAAAATATTACATTTTATTTTTTAGCCCAACAAATGTGAGTATGGAAATTTGAACATCCTACGTCAAGAGACAAAATAGATGCAAAATATACATTTCATTGAAAAAAGAATTAAATGATAAATAAACATTATACAAGTATTAGGTGACCAGCTTTCTAATGTAGACAACTGTTAATTAAAAATACATACTGAAGAGAAGTTTGCAATTCAGAAAATTCTTGATGTAATTCAAAATGTTTTCAACAGATCAGCGTGGAACATCAAAGCTACACCACAATATTCAGTCGCAGACAGTTATGCAATTGAATGGTCAGGAGTAACTAAATTACACTTCGACTAGTAAATGCAATTAATGCAAGTTTCATCATATGAAATTTAAGTTTACAACTCTATAATGTTTGCTTTCCCCCTTAGACCCCCAAATGCTCACACTCCTGCTTCACTTCTCCGTACAACTACATATTGGGATTAGAATTCAATACCACAGAACGTGCTTTGCCTGTTTCTTGATAACTCACAAACACCAAATAATGCACTAAGCATGATGAGAGCATTCAAGTCTTATATTCCAAAAGATAACCATTAGCGATATAGTTTGTAGATGAACATGCATCGCCATTACACTTTGCATCAAGAAAAAACTAATAATAAACATGACTTTTCCAAAGTCCCATGTACACTTACACTACGTGCAAAATACAGTCAAATGAGGGCAGTATTATCATAAATACTGGAAATCATAAATACTTGAAATTGTGCATCATGAAGAGCTTACTACAAGAAAAGATGTATCTATGCCATCAGCTTCTAGCTCCTCAACTATGCTCCTTCCTTGACTATCATCTGCAACCTACAATGTTATCATGCATGAATATGTTACAAACTTCACTCAAAGGAGACAAAACCAGCGATGTATATATATACCAGTTCTGTTTAGTACTCAGAAGTTGGGCTGGTTAAAAGAAACATGCCAAGGATAAAGAGCAACCTTGGAAATTATCCTTGGTGTTAAACCCAACCGAGCTGCAGAAGTTAAAGCATTCCCTACATTTCCTCCACCTTGGACCTAAGAAGTCATCAGCCACGTCAAGGAATTTCTAGTTTCCAGTTACACCACCAACAAAACAGTACACAATTTAAAGGAGACAAGATAGGAATCAAGAAATAACAAGCTTGAGTTCATATTAGTGTTAGGATCGCACAACCACATTTGATCTAGATGAAGAACACGATGAACAAGAGAGAGAAAACACAGAGAAATATATGTGGTAACTCCGTATGGTAAACTCCACATCGACTAGAGATTTATATTGATAACTAAGTAAGGAGAATACATAGCCATTTACTATATATAGGCATTGAGTAAGCAAGATCTAAGTAAATATCAGGCTCCACAACCTGACAACAGGTTTCGCCCTAAACTTCGGGTTCTTTTCAGTCCTCTCCAACTACAAACTCTACAAAAATCAATGAAGATTACAAGTGAGGATTCAATTTCCCAAGTGTTTCTCTCTATTTTTCTCTCTAAAATTACGCTCTAAAACATTCTCAAAAAGCTAGCCATCACTCCTTTTCCTTACAAATAAAGAAGAAAAATGTGTTTTTCCTTGCAGCATTGTAGTGCTCCTTTACTCCCTATCTCCATTTCCTTTAACTGGCTTTGAACAGACCATTGAGCGAGTCTCTAACTAATCCATATCGATGATTAACCTTGATGATTAGACTCCACAAATCTCAAAAGTTGCCACTCCAAACATATTCACTTCATAAGGCTCTACTGGTCCAGATATTGGATATCATACACAACACAATTCTAGCAATGTTTGATATATAGCTAGGCAACCACTAACTCATGTATCGATCGTATAGCTAACAGAGACAAGAAGGAAAAAAGAATACAGGGCCATACCTTTAAGCTCGTGGTTCTAATTTTGTCGTCAGGATTTGGATAAGAAGCCACAGCCGCCAAAAAATCAACAGTTGCAGAACCAACACCAAGCTGCAAAAACATACCAAACCGTTCAATCACTTTCAATGATCCAAAAAGGATGCATACATACTCTTAGGGACAATGAAAATAAGAGCACAAAAATAGTTATGTCAGTAATCAGAGCCAGAGCCGTGAAGCATTGTAAGAAGAGAGGGAGAAAAAGAAACTCACAACCACACGATTATCAGGAAGAGAAATCGAAACCGAGGAGGAAGTTGACGAGGAGATTCTCGGCCTGAAACCAGAATATGCGCAAAGAAACGGCTGAAATGTAAACAATTAGTTTGGTTTTCATCGGAAAAGGCTGAGGGAGATTACAGATTGCAGGAGAGGGAAAGGAGACCTGGTTAATTCGGAGAGGAGAATGAACAAGCGTAGTGCTTGAAATGAACGCCGGCAATGGCATCTTGCGAGTAGGAGAACGGGAGCCAAGGCCACTGGCGTTATTTTAGTGGATGATTTTGGCTCTCCTGTTCTCGCCACCCGTCTCTTCCGTTTTTTTTTTTTTTTTTTTTTTTTTTTTTTTTTTTTTTTTTTTTTTTTTTTTTTTT